GGGAAATCCTTCTCAAATATTAATTTATTCCAGCATTGTTAATTGTTTAATTTAGAAGAGATTTGATGTTAGGTAAAAAAAAAAAATCACTTGAATTTTATTATTGGTTCTGTGTACTCTAAGTACTCAAAATAGGAAATAGTGGTTTTATTTTTTTTTTTCTTAAGAGGATGCCTGGTATCTATTTGTACATATACTGAATAATTTTAGAAAATGAAGCTCTGCTCCAGAATTTTTAATGACAGTTTTTCCTTGCATTGACCAAATATAAAATCTACTTTACACTAATAAAACTCTCTGATACATTTCTGAAGAGAAAAAAAAAAGCGGCTGCTGTACCCTCACTTCTTACCATATTTAGCCTAATTATTCACAGTGTTGGAAAAACTGAGTCATCTTTCTGGTGAAATGTTTCTAGCTGCTGTGGTAGTGGCATAGTTCTCAGCTTTGGAATAAGAAAGTGTCAGTCTTGGCTATAATATGAATGTAAAGTAATAAAGTGTTAGAACTAGTATTTTATTGAATAGTAATTGAATATAACATTAGTGATGCTGTAGGATGTGACTGGTACTCTCAAAGCAGAAGGACTGCTCACTCAGAAACAACTTGGTTGTCTCCTGTCATCAGTTCTCTTATCGTTATGAGAGGAAAAGAGCTTTAGGAAAAACACTTTCTGAAACGTAGTTTAATTTTCTGACTACAACCAAACTGTAAAGTATGTACAGTTCTGCTTTAGTTGGAATTTTTAGTTTGAAAAATAAATTTTAGCATAGTTTCTTTATTATATGTTTGAGTTAGTAATGGGAAAAGATTATAAATTATGTCTCTTGAGACTGTTGTTGTGGAGACCAGTTTCACTTGGCTTTAACAGTTTTCCTCCTAGTTACACAGACAGACAGTGAGGAGAAGTGTCATGCAGCAGTCCACCTGAGCTGCCAGTACAGTTTCAGCGGTCTGTCTTTCACAGCCTAATTCAGACCAGAATTAGGAACTTACAGCTGCGTCTGCTGCTTTCTGCGTGACTGTTTTCATAATTTCCCACAGCAGGTGAGCAGGTGTCCCCTTGGGTCTCATAGTGGGAGGGTGCTGAGCCTCTTGAGGTTACTGGGAGCAGGGAGGGGGGGGCAGCCCTCTAAGTAGCTTCCCCAAGACAAGACCAGGAGTTAGAGGTGAGAGGCAGAAAGAATTATGGGTTTTTTTTTTTTATCTCTCTCCATCTTTCTCTTGAAGCTAACACAATGGTAAAGAAAATGCACTATTTTTAGTAAACTTCATGTCTTTTAAAACATTTCCTCCTTCTTGGAATTGAATTCCAACGGATAATCTAATAATGTGCCTGTAAGCATTACTGCTTTCTTAAATTATTATTTGTGCCATTGCACTGGCATTGCTGACTATCTAAACATCATGAAATTGGTGTTCATGGCGGTTCTCGCAGCAAATGCCAGTTACTAGTTTACTTTTTTCACCGAGACGGTTTAAGAAATTCTTGTGCGCTTCCAGCCATTTGTTCCCTTTCTGTGCTCCAGTTCAGTGTCTCTCTTTGTGCCAGTGCAACTGTGTACAGGCCGGCTAAATACTGGATCAGTGGAAAAACTGCTTGGTGTTCAGCATTTGGAGGCTTCTTTCTTGGAAGTGTGTTCATTTGAGTGATGCAGTTTCTAGTGGGGTCCAAAAAAATATTTATATTGGCATTAACTGAGGAAGGAGTGAACTGCAGTAAAGAGGGTTGGCAGCGTGGAAACTTCTTAAATGGACTTTTTCATGGAAGACAACGTTTGTGGAAGTTCACCCCTCTACTGTGAAGTGCTGATCATGGTTAGAAGATGGTTATCAAAAATTGTTTTCTCAAGCAGGTAGTTACTTTCCGTAATGAAAATGGGCTTGTAGCTTAATAAAGCAGTTTGTGTTCTGTCTGCTTATTCCACGGCTGGTAAAATAGAATAGCTTTTAAGATTCATTTCATTGAGCTTAAATATTATAAAATGGCTGCAGTGTGTAACTACTCCATTTTATATATCATGTAAAAAAAGATTGTTTTCCATGTAAATAAACCTTTAATCTCCTTCATAGTAAGTATCCCAGTAAAACTGGTCTACTTGTCTTGGAGTAAAGTATAATATATTACTGGCTAAAGGTAATTTAATCAAGCCTGCCTTACCATTTGTGAAGTGTGCAGAGAAAATACTGTCAATTATTCATTAAATTGACTGTTAAAATTGCCTTTTTATGTGAGTATGTTTCTCCTCTGCCTGCATTATGTTACATTCCTGTTTAACACTGTAACTGGCCAATGTGTATAAAAAAAAAAAAAAAAACAGTCCTGTAAAGGCACCACGATTTTATCCAAGCAAAACCAATTGCATTTATCAAAGGAAATTGAGTCTTTTAAGGACATGTGCAAGTACTGAAATACTAAATATTATTTTACCATTTTGAAACAAATACTGGAAGAGCTTACGTCTTTAGAATTTGGTAAACACTTCTGGTGTTTTCTGCTATCTTGTGTTAGAAATAGTAATATGCTTTGTTTGAATTTTGCCACCTATATGCTGCAGTATTACCTATTTCCTTGAAAAAAAATGCAGTGTGTTACAGTCCCAAGTTATCTGAAAAAGTTAGTTATACATAAATGTTGTCACAGCTCTCCAACGTGCTATGTCTTTACCCATGTTTTGAAACTTCACGTTTCATACATAGATTCAGAGTCTGTTGAGATTCTTCCTGGCTGCTGCCTCAAGTGTGGGTGTTTCACTGGTGACCTGTGATGGGGATGGGTTTGTTGAGAAGACAGGCTCCTAACCAGCAGCTGTGAGCTTTAGTTCAGGTTACTTCTGCTTTATAAAGCACGAAAATAAATTCCTCTTTCATGTGCCCTTGTACACATATTAATTGTATTTATAAAATGTTCTACAGTCCTATGACTGTGCTGTAAATACTATTGGATATTGTATGGCGTTCCATCCTAGGGCAGGCCCTCCGGCTGTGCCTTTTCTGTCCTCAACTTGTCATAGACCCTGTAGAACACACGGCTGAAAGGTCTCTCTGGGGCTGACACATCTTCTGCAGTTGCGGAGCTGTGAGCGGGAATGGTGTATTTAGACTTGTTGTAATATTACTCAGCTCATCAGCAGGGCAGAGGGTGGGTGGGTTGGGGGATTCTCGGATGCTGCTCTCGCGCAGGACATGCATTGCCTTTGGTTTCAGGTGTTTCGCATCAGGCCTGAAATCTGTTTACCGAAGCAAAAAAAAAAATAAATCCTAAATTGGCTCAAACGTTTGAATGCCTTAAGACGCTTGTGATAAAGGTACTACTCGAATTTACTGATCTCTATATATATCTATATATACCTAT